GTGTGTGTGTGTGTGTGTGTGTGTGTGTGTGTGTGTGTGTGTGTGTGTGTGTGTGTGGTGGGGGACAACACCTCGGGTCATTTTGTCCTCCATTGTAACACACTTCCTGTGAACTTCCAGTGGAATGTGAGGCTTTGAGTATTATGGATGTTTTCATTGCAGGAAGTCAACCTTTAAAACACTAAAACAAATAAAATTCTCAGCGTTCATGTAGGCTTAACAAAAAAACAACATTTTTTATGAGTTTAAAAAAGTGGCACTGAGGAATATCTGGTCAGAAAAAATAAGAAAAAACAAAACAAAAGTGTTGCTATGAAAAGTAAACTTTACGTCTCTTGAGGTTTTAGTGGGAATGTGAGCACAAACACAACAGTGAGAGAAGTGAAATTACCAGTTAGACTGTAAAACGGGAAACAGTCTGAGTCTAAATTTATTCAACTAAACTGTCTGTGCTTTAAAGGAATAAAAGAGCAGGAAGACAAATGGGTGAGCCGTGTTCCTGAATGAACCCATTTCTGATTTTAGACATGTTTTATTGCAATAATTTAATGTTTATTATTATTACTGTTCTGCTTTAGCTAGCAACAGAATATTTTTACCTGAACAGATGACACAGATTATAGGTAATTCAATGTGTTATTTTAAACAGCTACTTGATAAAGTTTTTTTTAAATGAAGATGTAGAGAACTATGGTCCCTACACTTCCCTAAACTTAGAGTTATGAAGAAACAGAGTGCGCTGTGCAGACTGTGGATGCTTCATGCTGCTGAGCATCAAATAAAAACTAACTAATTAAGACATACTTCATGCATATGTACTCATTTTGTTTTGAAAAAACATTTTATTAGAGTTTATATAGGTGTTTTTGGAMTTTTTTGTGTGCTTTTGTCACATCTGGTAATCATTTTTCTGATTAAAAAAACAAAAGTAAATAGTGTTTTTGTAATTTCTTCATTTTCAACATACATTTGACTTCTTGTGGAAAACTCAGCACTCTGTTTTTAATTGACTATGATATGATGTTTAAATGTACTCTATTTATTCATGAATAATATAGAAATTTTACCCTAAAAATCATCCATAAAGTGTGTCAAAAAATGATGATCGTATTGTACTCGAGATCGTATATGCCTAATTTACTAATTAATTAAATTAGTAATAATTTAATAATACCTAATTACCTAATTTCCCTCTGGGATCAATAAAGTATTTTGAATTGAATTGAATTGAATTGAACTGTATTAAACATGAATAAATAAGGTATTTAATTTATAACCCTTTTTTATACACAGTTTTCTTAATGTCCTGCAGCAGCATTTCACTCAGCCAGGTGTCTGACTGTGCCTTGACCATTGAAAACACTAATTTTTTTWAATTAATTCTTTTTTATGTTTAACATGCATGGTTTGAGGCAGGTCTCAGCTTTCAAACACTCTGCATCACATTTACAGAACAGATGATTTCATCTGTCTCAGTCGCTGCCCGATGTTCAGGTCCTGTAGCTACAGAACAAGCACATCATCAATTCTCCGCTTCTGTGCTTGGAAACTGATATGCTGAGTCTGACTWTGGTTTTTGCCCAAAATAGCGCTGATCATTTTCAGAAAACAACACCACTTTGGTCTGACGTGTCAAAACGTTGTTGTAATCCCCCTTTTTTTAGCCGTTAAATGCATTTTGTTTTGTACTTGGAGTCAATGCAGAAAAGTTTAATTTAGTCTTTTCTAGAGATCTTTATATTCTGTTTGGGGTCATATTTTTCAACCCCTACAGTTTTCTCTGTTATGTTTTCTGAACTATGGAGGAATTCAGACCAAAGCATTGCAGCTCCGCTTTATAAAGAACTGAAGTATGTGAAAAAGAAAGTTTTAAAAGCATRATAAGAAGTCTTGTTAGTCTGGATTTTGATTCTGCAAAACACAAGCCACCTAAATCTTTAGGTTTGCTSTGGTACAGTAGTAGCTGACAGTCCTTCACAAGTCATGCAGTGAGCATGAGATTTTGCAATATTGTCTGTTTTTATAGCATGATTGTATTTTTCATGGTCTGAGCAAAACAAAATACAGCTCCATCACTTCTGAATGGAAGATGATCTTAGGCAGGCGTGGGGAAATATGCTATTTGTTTATTTAAATGCATCTTTGTGGCTTCTGTTAAAAAAGGACAACTTTTAGWATGTCTAGTGTTTTGTTCATCCTGAACTGTTTATTACATGAGAGCATTAATATGTTTCTACTCTAGAAACAAAAAAAAAAAGCCAAGGCAAATTTTTTTTGATGTATTTTAAGAGTGGGAAGTTTTTTCTGTTTTACTCACATCTCAAAAAGTGAGAGGAGTTGTGTGCATGAACTCCCCCCCAGACAAGCCTTTTGACTCATCGTCTGTGTCTTTTGTTCGTGTCTTTGGGCTCAGACGAGGCAGGAACCTTTGATGAGTGTGTCTGTCTTGAGACAGAAAGTAGAAACAAAACAAAACAAAAACGCTCGGAGAGGACAGGAAGCGCGCTGCACTCTTGAACCGGTGGGAAAGTTTGAGCCAGAATAGCGGA